GTTGTGACTTCATGAATTACTTTATATTTTATAATGCGACTTTTAAAAAATAAAAATTAAAACTTACTGATACGAATAATGACTCGTTTATTGAAAACAGATGCAAAGCTTCGAATGTAATATCTGCACTTTTGCAATGATACGAAAATAATAACAGCTAAAAATAGAAAATAGAATTTTTTAATTATTTTCCAATTGAACTGATTATTTTAGTATTGATACCTGATACGCTATATTTTTATTCTTTGCACTATCGTTGTACATTAAACAATTGATCAGTATACGGTTGATCGTTTCATTCTGTGAAAAACATGGAAAAAAGTTTATAAATTATCAGCAATATATAAAAATATTCGAAACTACAAATATATTACCTGTTCCATTGTTGAGGTAGTAAAGTTAGTTAATACAAAAACCATCATAACAGCGTCCAAAAGATAAATTGTATATTTTGTTATTAATTTATATGTATAAATGGTTGTAAATGTGTCATCAGTTAACTCAGGTGACATATGTAATATATAGTAGAAATTACGCAGAATTACATTAGAATATACCAAAATGCATATGAAAATTGGTAAAGAGAATAACTCAGACATATCTTTTGATGATTCAATCAATGACATGTAGATCTTTTGCAATTTCGCTATAGTAAGTAACTTTTGCCGTTCACTACTTGATAAGCTAGTAGATGTTCCAAAATTAATTTTTAAGTTATGACATATCAATTCAAGTGAAATTCGAATAAAGATGGTAAAAGATACGTATTGCATCGTGATCATATCAATAATCATACTATGAATAAAATATAACATCAAGTTAGAAAATAGCTTAGGATGCCATCTGTAAACTATCCAACTCACTCGTAGAATATACTTTACAGTCATTAACAAAATCAATTTTTTGTATTGTAATGACCAGTTACTAATACTTTTATTTCTTTTCAATGTTCCCACTAACTCTTTTATTAAATTAAATTTTGTAAATATAATTATCGCAGTTCTTTGTTTGACAATTGATAAAATTAAAATAGGATTGCAAGCCATGTAAATAATTACATCCCTATAAAGAGCGATAGAAAACATTGAGTATAAAAATTCATTTTTACCATCATGTAAAAAAGTATAAGTAAATATTTCTTGTAGTTCAAAATATTGAAATACAATTAACATTATGAGTAAACAAGTATAAACAAGTATTATATGCTATCCCAGAGTAGGAATAATTAAACGACCAGCGTTTAAAAATATTATTTTTTATCGGGATCTCGTTGAAACTTATAGTTGCAGTCCCAAGAATTCGATTACAATAGTAAAATAGTTTTATTAGTGTAAGATTAAATTTTTTTGCTTCCATTTTTGCTGTTAGTTCAATAAAAATTGTTGCAGTACAAATTTTGGTCTAAAAAACGAAGAGATAAAAATGAAAAAAGATATTTATAGATACACTTACTTTAGAAATTTTTTTTAGCGTAAATTTCGTTTACCGAATACAATTATACTACTGTATGAATAGTTAGTATGTTGTTATAGCCAAAGTCGATAAGTCAAGTACAACGTCGATTTGAAGTCCCGAGCCAACTAACTATAGTAAGGTATTCAGAAAGCCGAAGAATAACAAAAATTAATTCCTTGATAAGTCTTTCTGATTTATAAATGTACATCGATTTACAACGCACTTGCGTACTTTAGTGACACAATACAAGTTATGATCAAGTACATAAAGATTTTATAGGTGAAAGGTAAAACTAATTACGTACAAGAATAGAAATATCAACCTTGAAAGTAAGTGCCACTTTCAAAAATTATATCCTATATTATTTAACTTGGCCGTGCTCTGCTATATTTTGTTGTTAGAGTGTATTGATACATACAAAAAATAGAATCATTCCATTACGTTTATTCATTCCATTAATAAGGAAAATACACGTCACACGTTTGAATTTTGATTACAAATATTTAATGGATAAAAGCTTTTTTTAATTATCTCCAAACGAAAAAAGTTATATTGAAACACTGTTATGTACGATAGAATATAGCTATGCGTCCGTACGCCCTTTCTACATATAGCCTGGGCCCTAAAAGCTACAGGGGAATGGAGAAGAGAAGCCACATCGTGAACAAATAAAGTGTCTTTATTCATGAATGCTTTTATATAATTTTAAATGCTCAATTTTTAAATTCCAACTCAAACAATCAATGATGTTCCCATAAAAAGGTTATAATCCAGAATTATTTGAAAAATTATCCAATATTGCCCGATGAGTCCACACTTTTTTATGGAAAATAGCACTGAAAAAATTTTTCTCAAGCAAGCACGATCATTCTAAATTCTCAAACTATGCGTTGAGGAGTTAAAATTTAGAAAATTAAGGAAAACATTTATTTTCATGAACGACACAGTGCTCGACAGAAGTATTATACTAAAAACGCAAAATTTTAATCCTTTTAGACCAAAAATTTTATGAAAAACTACTCCTCCACACTGAGGGAACAAGCATTTTTTTTTTTTTTTTTTCTCAGCCACCACGAAAACAAAATCCACCAAACATCGTTACGCACACGTGGCTATCGTACACTCGTGGCCATGTATTGATGAAAAAAATTAGCCAACGCCAAGGGGCATCAGCGCCGAGACGAGCCAAACCACCAGCGCAGCTGCCTATTATGTGTGCACATGAAACTTTTGAGTTTACCGGGTCATTTATCGCAGTCACGGGCGTCATTGGAGCGTTTAGCGTGCTCCCGTTTGACGCACGTTGCCCGTATAAATGGCCCCAACTGCCGGCTACTTCGCTCGAAAGGTAACGATCACCACCGCCGCGCGCGCCCGGTAATTTTTACACCTTCGAACACCACCAAAAGCAACGACAGCATCAACACTCACCGTCGATGAAATGGTAAGATTTCTTTTCTTTTTGACATCACATTATCGTTATTACAATTATTTAGTCTTGATTTTTATTCCCCCACAGGCCATAGTCACGTACAAGGTCTGCTTTGCCCTGCTCCTCCTCGTTGTGTCGGCCGTGAATGGACGACCGGTTGGTCTCGAGGACACAGACTCCGCGTTGACCAGCAACCCTTTGCCGAGCGCCGAGGCGAACCCCAAGCTGTATTTGATACTGGCCGAGGAGCTCGGTACGGACGACAACGACGAGGCGGGCCACGTGGACGAAGAGACCCGAGAAATCGTGATCGAGAAAATCGACGACCACACCGATTCTAAGATCGAGAAGCGCAGCGTCGAGGAGAATGACGATCTCGACACGGCTGCGGGGACGAATGTCTTGCGGCCGCTGTTCGTTTACAGGCAGCAGCTGGCCTACAGAGAGCGGGTCAAGGGCGCGGTTAGACGCTCGGGGTTTCGACCTAGGTTCTAGGCTGATTTTCCTTGGACTCTCTTTGTGAAGTACCTTACTTCGTTGTTACTGTTTTTTTTTCTTTTTTTTTGTTTTTTTTTGATAAAATACACGTGTGCGTATAATATGGGGTTAAAACTAGCCTGGATTCGTCACGATGATGAAAACAGCCTTCGGACTGTACTCGGCCAGCGGTACGATGATGGTTTTTATTATCTCGGCGTTTCGGTGGACCAGCTCGAGCCTCGACTCGTTCTTCATCTGGCGCACGCCGATCGTTATTATCACCACCTTCGAGTTGCTCGACGCGCAAAAATCTTACCAGCGAATGAGCAATATAAAAATCAATCTCTTCTTCCTCTCTCTTGATGTAATACAGTCCTACCTGTGTCGTACTCGAATTGCGGATCGTCCAGGAAAATCAGCCCGTGGGAAAAGTCCATGCCCTCGCCCCTCAGTCTTTTCGGGAACGCGTCAAGCAGTGTCACGTNAGATATCTAGCAAATACATATCTGATACGCTATTAATAAAAAAAAAATTACAAATTTTGTTACACTTAAAAAACATTAAAAATTGTTAATGTCAATTTTTATGGAAAAATTGAAAAAGTTTTATTTGAGGTTCATGGCACAGTCAGAACATTTTTGGATTAAAAAATAAGCTTGAAACATTAGTAATGCATTTTAGACAATAGTTATGCGTTCTAGTGAAAAATGTAGCAGTTGTGACTTCATGAAGAAATTTAATTTTTTTTTGCACAAGTTATATATTTGTATTGTATACATTTTTATATGACCAATGAGTTAAAAACTGAAAGTGATTTATTTTGTTAAGTAAGTTTATTTACTTACACTCACTTGAATTTTATCAATGTAAGAAGAAAAACAGTCTATTTTGAAAAATAATTACACGTACTTCGCTAAAAGGTATTCTCGACCATATCCCCACACTTTGTTGACATTATTGTTTCACAACTGGAAAATATATTTTTAAAACTTGTGCGAAAAAAAATTGTTAGTTATTTGAGTTTTTATTTGAATAATTAATAATTAAGTATGATTAAGAATACGGTAATATCGTTCTACTTCTATACAGTGCAAATATACATTAGAAATTGTTGAAGACTGACTGTTTGATTTAGCGTTTAAATTAGACTATTAATTAACTACAATGTAAGTACCATGAAAATGTGTCAAAAATCAGCTAATTTACTGAAATTTACCAAAAATAATAAGCTTATTTGCAATATTTTTAGCACAACTGTTTAAAATTAAGTACATATTTATAATAAAATAATCATACCTGAGTTTTATCTATAAACATTTTAACAATCTGTAAAAAGAGTGCAAAATGAAAATAACATTTTTTAGAACATGTATTTATTAGTTACATTTTTCATATCTCTACAAACTATGAAAATATTTAATCGTATCAGTGCTATTAATAAAAGTAAAAGTTAATATCATTTAATGTAATTTTATTTTTATAAAAAACTAAAAAGCAATCGAGAATGGCCAATTATTTATTTTATTAAAATTAATAATGTTCTTACAATTGTTGAAAATTTTTTGTTGCTGTATTCTATAGTATTTTAAATAAAATAAAATAAAAAAGTACAGTATTAGAATAAAAAGTTATACGACCACGAAGATACATTATTTTTCGAAAGATCTTCAATCGTTACTTTTCGTTGTTAGTTTTTCATTAAAAACGTTCTAATAAATGATAAGTTATGACATATTTCATGAGTCACAAGAGATGACATAATTTTCTATGAAATTATTAACGTATACGGTCAATATTGCTTCCAACTTGCATTTCCAACAATGACGTCGTTTCTTTTTCCCTGCGAATCTCAAATGAAAAACTAACGATTGTCTTTGCACTTAAAGACTCCATTAGCTCGTATTTGATTAATAACTTTGCTCTTCAAAGTGGTAAAAAAGTCTCTGTGAATCACTTCGTAAGTAAGAATAGAGATTCTTTTTGTCTAATAGTCTCGTCATTTTTCGCAATTCAAACGGTCTTGAATTTTTCCTCGCTTCTCGCATGAAAATATATTTTTACCCGCCTCATAATTTTATTTTGACGATAAAAACTAATTTTACCAACTAAACACTATTTTTTAAATAGTAGCACCTAATAAAACAATAAAAATCCTCATTTTCAATTTTATAAACGCACAAACTAATCGAAATAAAAATAACTTACGTAGTTTCCTTTAAAAAAATCGCTCTATTAAATAAATAAATAAAAAAAGAAAAAAATTACACATCAACTCAATCCAACAGAACATAAATTACCCAGGAAACACAGGATAGATCCTAAATCGCCTGGTTGTAGCAGATATTCTCTGCAGATCGTTATTTCTTCTCCAGGACCTCTTGGCCGTCGTCCTTATCCTTACCGTCGTTGGTCTGCGCGTCATGTAATACTCGTAAGATTCGATGCCAAAAGGTCGCCTCTTGTACAGTTTTTCGGAACCTTTGCTCTTGTCGTAGGTCATGGGCCGTCTGTAGCCATCTTGTTGAAGGTTAGAAATGCCACCCCAGCCGGTATAGTAGTTAGCATCTCTTGCCGATCGAGCAACAACCATTTCAGGCTCTAAAGGCACATTCGTTGTATCGTTCGCAGAAGCCGATTCGATTTTCAAGGTCACATCATTCGATGATGACATTGACAATACCACGAAATAGCAGCAGCAATAAATGAAAAATGCATTAGCAGCTGTTGGCATGATCGTTATTTTCGAGTCACTTTTCGCCGAGATACTGCGATTTATTCTTATAGTACCTACACATACGGAGACGCGAACCGAGTCGTACTGCGTTCGAGGCGTTGAAAGGTCAAACGATTTATATGTGGTCGTTCTCGAGGTACTGCTTTATTGTATGGACGGTGTTCGAAGTACGAGCGAATTACTAAGTGCTCGTTATCGAGGCGCTAATCGATCGGCAAACGGCAGATCCCCTCGAAAACATTCAGATGTCTGTTTCCGTGTGTGTTTTAAATTTTTGTCGTGCCTCGGGTAGCCGTGCAGTGTTTTTTGGATTTTTGACCATTTAATCTATCGATATCGGAACAAATGTATTAATATTTTTTATTTTCATCATTAGTATTATTTCATGTTTAAATTAAAAAATGATGTTTATTCTATATGTCTACAAGTGCATTACGATGATCACGTATCCAATACGTGTCAATCAGTTTTTTTTATACGTATGTTTTATACTTGTGTGATTCTGTAATGGTATTCGAATGCATACCGAGATTCGAACGACGGAACTTTGGAGAAGGGAGATATTAATACAATAATTTTTTTTTTATCGATAAACACGCTAATGTAAACGCAAGGCCTTGTTCAATGTTACTTTTGAATTTTTTCTCCTCTACTTTATATGACACTTGTTTGCTAAGAAATGTTAAAGCGTTTATTTTTAAAATACCAAAAGTTCCAAACTGACCTCTGCCAAATTCGGCGAATCCCTAGTATGGGTATATATTTATTGAAGCATTTAGTAACGCCATGCAAACGCGACCTTAAAATACTGGGACCTAAAATTATGCAACAAGCCCCGGTGTTCCCACCAACCAAAATTTGTAAAAAAAAAAAAAAAAAAAAAAAAACATGATGTGCATGTATCTCAAGGACACAATAACGCAGTCGTACACAAATAGAAAAAATTAATGATAATAACAACAAGACAATGCCACGCGCGGTACATGTGTGGCGTCCCCTTATTTTTAGCGCCAAAGTGCTAAACTCGACCGCTCGCTCCGATATAAAAAGTCAGGGCGCACCGTTATCAGTTCACATAGTTTCAGTTGCGCGCGAATATTTTTCTCATATTCGGGCACAGCACGTATACCGAAATTTTAGCACTTGTAGTGTAAAAAAAAAAAAAATACCACATTTGGCATTTGAATAAAAATGAAGTGGTTCGAACGGGCGAGGGTTCGATCGGTGGGTTGGGTTGGTTTTTTTGTTGTTTGAAAAAAATTTTTTTTCCAATTGAAAATTGATATCTAATGCAAAAGTTACTCCTGTTGAGTGGTTACACATCATTCTTAGGGTTGTTTTACAATGTTACAGTTTACCGTACTTGGGCGCTAATGTTCAACGTTTCTCGTGTGGATTGCAGGTGATATTTTTGCTACTCGCAGTTTGCCCTGTTTTACCGGCAAAGTGCCAAGATAACGTGGAGCACAATGGAACGAAAATTATCGGCTTGAAGGATCCGAACGTCGATGCCACTGTCAAGTCTGCATTGGAAAACGGTACCGTTTCCGAGGTCGTCGTTCGCAAGGATTTGCTGCTTTTTCCCGTCAATGCACCTAATTTGGTATGTAGTATAGGATGGTTAATTCCAGATTTTTCGAATGGAAAATTTTTCGTCGTAAAATAAAATAAACTCAACAGGTGATAGCTCACAGACAAGAAATTCACGCTGTGCCTCAAAATAATAGCACCGAAGGCACAAACGGCAAACCAACAGCTGCTGAAGTAGCAGAAGTGAACGAGTACAGTTTGTCTCAAGTGGTTTCAAACGACACCAGTGGCAACGATGAATCCGTGAGTACTTTGTTTTTTTCTTCTTCAAAAAGCTATAACTGTGTGAATTTTTCAATCTTCAAGGAGACTGCATAATCAACTGGTTAAGCAAAAATCTAACTTACCGACGAAATTGATTTTTTCATATTTATCGGTGATGTTGTTGATGATTTTACAAAACACAAACCCAGAAGAAGCACAAAGATTTTATCCACCATCTTGTGAAGTTATGAGCAAATTATATCTGATACCTTAAAGTTGTAGATCTAAAAACGGTTTTATAAAAATGTGGTCTAAACTCGATCAGATGATGGACTAAACTACTTCTGTGTTTATACTTTGTATACTTTGCTAACAAGAAGAAAAAAAAAAAATAATCGATCTTTTCCAACGCAAAGTTGAATAATCATCATCAAATTCTTCCACTAAATAAAGGAAAGCTCGACTATCATCAGCGCCGACCCTGCGGCTGCACGTGGCCCGCAAAACGGTGCGCTACTGGAGCCCGGCAAGCTCCTGGAGATCCCTTCGGGCTTCAATATCTCAGACGGACTGGCTACCGAAAAAGTTGCCCTCCCCGACGAGGTGCAAAACGTTAGCGTTCCTAAAAAATCTATCGTGGACCTCCTATCGAAATCGCTCGGCCAGTCGGACGCGTCACTGACCACCGTCTCGTCGTCGTCCATACACAAACTACTCAAGAGATCGGTTGCCCACATGGACAGCAACAACACATCCACTACAACCACTACCATTGGGAGCCTTGTCGATTACAGTGCTATGGTGAAGAGATCGGCTGACCTACAGGAAGATGGGGACGCCACGACGGAAAATACCAAAGATTTTACTACGTTCGTGGAGAAACGATCTATCGATTATTCCGACGAAGATGACTCGGACAGCGACGAGAGCAGCAGTAGTAGCTCTAGTGCTGCGGAAATCGGTAAAACATCGGTAGATTCGACAACCGATTCCGCGAGTTCAACCACTCCGTCGAATGGCGATGGCAGCAGCACTTCCAATATTGTCAAAAGATCGGTTGAGATGGATGGTGATGGCAACGATGATGATAACGATGGCGATGACAACTCCGTAAGCACCTCCGAGCCCTACGACCCCGAGGTATTTAAAAAAAAGTTTTTTAACAAAAATCGCAATCGAGATTTTGTAAATTTTGGAATAATCGTTGATGTTGAAATAAATATTGCCACAATAAACAAAATGCCGCGCTACAAGGATTTTTAGAACTAAATTTTTGTCTAAATTTTTTCGTCATACTTAAAACACATTTTTCTTTTTGTTTAATGGAAAAACGAAACATTTGATTTTTCGTCCATTAAAACTCAGTAAAAAAACCCTTAAACACGTATTTTTAGGAGTGACTCCAGACTCCAGATGTTCAGAACTCTTGTCACCCTGCCTTCCAGGTCGATAAGTCCAGTTCAACCACCAACAGCTCAAATGATCAAAATCAAACGTTCATCGGCGGCGATAGTGAGGACCAAAACGGAAAAGACCACGAGAGGCAATACGTTCCAGAAAACGAAGTAGACGAGGATATGGATGTCGCCGAAGACATAGTGTTCAGGCCGTTGTTCAGGTATCGCCAGGAGACGCGGCTGCGACACCAGTATTCACCGGATAGACGAAACTATTACGAAAATCGGTACCGTTACAAAACCGGTGATTCAGATTACGATTGATTTTTTCATCACCCAGAGATTCGAAAAATGTATAAATAATTTTGACGTCAATAGTATTATTCATTCGTTAATTCAACAATTTGTTAGTAAAAATAGTTCTGTTTTAATAAAATGGAAATGCGTTGATCCCACTTTATGTTGTTGTAATCAACTCCAAACTAGTCGATATATAGTTCTAGTCTGTTACTCATTGTGTTTTTTTGCTATTGTCAACAAAATAAGCGATATCATGTTGACAACTAAAACTGATGGCTAACATTATCATACATTATTTAGCATGTATGGTACAAACATTTTATTATATCCACGTATAGCTCGATTTTTATAAGTAATTTTTAGAGTAAAATTCGTTTGCGACATCGATGAAAACTTATGCCCACGAAATCGTTGTTTTTATGTAATTATTGTACAGAAAAATTGTAATCCAAGCAATAAAAATACCTTTAGCACACAGACTTTCGTTTGTTTCTTCTCATATTAAGCATTTTTTTCTTTTTTCTCAATAATAAATATTGTTTCAATGACAAATGAAAAGAAAGATCAAACATAAATATACACATTTTTGACAAGTGTTGTTTTTTTGTTTTTTGTTTTATTAATCTTCGTCGCATATTCGCTTACAATTATAATCAAAAATACACTCGTTATTTTGATAACTTCGTGAGTGTATACATTCAAAAAAAAAAAAAAATCAACCGATCGAAAGGAATGCTAGTATCTTCGATCAGTACCACGAGCCGTAGCCCCCTCCGACACCTCCGAAACCTGGTCGAGGGTAGCCACTTCCATACCCGGGTCCACCCCAGCCACCTCCGTACCCGGGTCTGTTCCATCCACCCCCAAAGGTGGGGCCACCATAGCCGCCTGGGGCATAGCCGGGCCTGCCAAAACCACCCCCGAACACGGGCCTGCCGAAACCAATTGCGAAACCGCGGTGTCCTCCGAATCTCGATTCGATGCTTCTGTCAGCAATCGCGTCCCTGGAACTAGGTGGCTCCAAGCTGTCCGCAAGGATGAAACCAGCGCAGAGCACCACGGCCACAACGAACAGCTGAAAAGTATCATTACTGATTTCATACGGTCGTAATGCATTGAGAACGAAAAATATTAGTTCGTTGGATCAACGAATAAATCGTAGGATTTAGGAGTTTTTTTTTGTTGCTTTATTGATGTAGGTAACAAAAAAAAAAAAAAAAACGTATGTTAAACTCACCAATGGTCGCAACATCTTGAAGGAAGAGTTTCTATACTTGTGGTGACCAAATTGCCGAGTTGCCTTCTTTTTATATACGCGACCAGCGCAACTCTATACATTTAAATCCTCTCCCTCTCCGCGCTTTGTTCGCAACTAGTCAAATAGGAATAAGTTGACATATAAACACTATATGCAATTCGCAAATGTGTGTACCTAATGTGCATACGCGATGAGAGCATTTGTGCACACTTTTTCAAATTCAAGAGCTGCTACTTGCGTTTGTGCGCTTGAAAATGTATATATTTTTTTTCCATGAACTCGCGCATATTCACGTTACCAGGGGATTTTTGCGATATTTTCTATGGATTATAAAGAGTCGATGTGACTGGAATATTTTCATCAGTACGTATATTATTTACCTGTAACTAATCATCATTATAATTGAAGATTGGGTACAGTTTTTTTTGTGGATTAAAATGCATCTTTAAGAAAAAAAAAAGAAAAAAAAATTTTCCACAAAGTTTGTTAAATAACATATTGTTTAATACTTTAAAACGAAATTCATACAAACAGTTTTATTGCAACATTTAAAAGGGCCACAGTATGTAAAAAAACTTTAAGTCTTTTTTTTGTTCATGACCAATTTTTTCATACTTAACGTTGTGATGTACGTTGTAAAAAATCCTCACTTTTACCTTGAAGTAAAACGGTAGACACTTTTGGGAATAATTAAACATGTTTCGTAATATAAGTCGACATACGCTTTATTTATTGGTATCTTGAAAAAATCGTTCAATTAAATTATTTTACAAGATTTAATTTGTCGTGTACAAAGTCATGTGTTTCCTTAACAACATCAGTTATCATTTTTATATAAAATTTATGCATCACTTTATGCATAGTATGTAGTGAATTTTTATATTGATAATTAAAGCATTCTTTTATTTGGAACACATTTATTGTAAAAACAATAATTTAATTTCAAAGTTTTTTTTTTTTTCATTTGCAATGAAACGTTTTTTTAGGACAAAATACGACTTATATATAA